CGCGCAGAAACAGAACCACGGGCACCTGCGCCCGGTGCGCGCGCAGAAACAGAACCACGGGCACCTGCGCCCCGTGCGCGCGCAGAAACAGAACCACGGGCACCTGCGCCCGGTGCGCGCGCAGAAACAGAACCACGGGCACCTGCGCCCGGTGCGCGCGCAGAAACAGAACCACGGGCGCCCGGTGCGCGCGCAGAAACAGAACCACGGGCACCTGCGCCCGGTGCGCGCGCAGAAACAGAACCACGGGCACCTGCGCCCCATGCGCGCGGCAGAGGCAGGGCTTGTGACGCCTGCGCGGAGTGCGCGGCAGGAGCGACCTCGGAGAGCAGAGCCGCCCTCCACAGAGGTTTCGATGGCTGGTTTGTTAGATTGCCTGACCTTTCTTTGGAGCCACCTCTGGGTAGAGGCGACCTCCAGCCTTCCACGTGGGCAGCCGATGAAGAGCATGTCGACACCCCTGCCCCTCAATCCTTGAGCCATGTGAAATTATCTAGGCGGCTGCAGGCTCAGCCACCCCAGGCGGTGGCGACAGGCCTGCATGCAGCGGGACCAGCCTCTGCCATTATCTTTCGGTAAGAATCTAAATTATGGTGATTTTGTTTTTGCTTTGCTTAATCACAAAGCCCTTTAAATAGAACTCATCGCTCCCCTCTCAGACCAGGATCAGAGAGGAGAAGCCACGTGCCTAAGGGTCCCCAGACCCACACCTGCAATGGGTGCCCCAGGGATTGAACAGGACCCAAAGTGGCCCCGCAGCCATTCCCCCTGTCCCTTGGCTCTCCAGAGATGGCCGGCACCACCAGCGGGGCTCTGAGCGCGCACAGGTGTAGGTGAGGCAGCATAGGTGTAGGTGATGCAATACGCGTCCACTGGAGGCCCTGCTGCTGGGGGAAAAGCCAGGCAGGAAGCTCCCTGTGCAGGTCAGCGGCCTCTGGGCCCGGCCCCCTGTACCCACAGAGTGGCAAGCCCCCAGGATGGGGGTCCCAGGTGTCCCCTGATGGTGTGGAATCCAGAGTCTCAGGGGTCAAGACCCGGCTGCTCGCTGAAGGCTGGGGTCTGCCCTCTATCCCATGGGCACCATCCACCGCTCCACTCCTATGACTGTCCCATAGGTTCCCCGGGACACTAGGGCACCCCAGCACCCCCTTTTCCTAGTCCTAGCCATGCCTGGCACGAGTGGGCAGGTCTGTGTCCTCACAGCAACAACCCAGGGACCTGCTGTGCACCCCACCTCTCCTGCCAACCTCACCCCCTGCCTGAGCCTGCAGGTGCCCACCAGGCCCTGCGCACACATGAGTCTATCAGCCCAGCTCATCCTGGAAGGACGGTGCAAGGGGCCCATGGACCTGTGACCTGGGCGCTGGCCAGGCAGCAGGCAGGTGGCCCAGGTTTACAGGAAGCTGCCTGCCCCAGTTCCGGCCGAGCACTCACTCCCCACACCTGTTCCCTGGCCTACACTGGAGGCATGGCAGCAGCTCAAGGAGAAGCAGCCCTTGGAAGGGGCAGGCACTTGAACCCAGGCCCACTCCCAGGAGCCGTCCCAGACAGACAGACAGACTGACCGGGGCCCGAGGGTGCTGAAGCCCCGACCCTTGAGCAGCAAACACTTGGTGAGAAGTTGGGGGGCGGGGAGAACAGACAGGGCGTACAGCACAGACTGGAATGCCCCTGGCCCGGGCCACCTGGGACCTGCCGACTCAGGGCGGCCATGTGGACCCCAGCAGAGATGTACTCAGGGGCACTCGGTGGCCATCTGTCTATCTTTCCAAGCAGCTCTGGATGGGACAGCCCCACCCATCTCTGTGTGGGCAGTAACTGCGTCCACGTCCCTAGGGCCGCATGGAGAGATTGTTTAGGAGGCTGGTCTGCATGTTGGGGGGCGGGGGTAGTGACTGGGGTCTCACCAGCTACCAGGCTACTGGTCTCTGCCACCAGCAGAGAGATGTGGGGAAGACAAGTGGAAATGAGTCCAAAGGGCTAGCGGACCCCCGAGAGTCCCGGCTCCTCAACCCTGGGGGCAGAAGGCACTAGATGATGCCCGGCCACTATAGCCGACTGCTCTGCAGGGGCCACGCAGGGAGTCCTGTGTAGAGCAGGAGGAAGAACACTTGGAACAAGACTCAGCCCACACAAAAGACGGGGCCCGCTGGTCCCCGAGACAGGCGGAACCCCGCGGCTGTGGCCCTTAGTCCCCCCGCTGGCCTGGAACTGAAGAGCTAGGCCCTGGATGGGTCTGTGAGGCGGACACCACTGGGGAGGGACAATCTGCCTGAGGGCAGAGGTGGCATTTGCCAGAGAAAGCTCAGGAGGCTGGGGCAGCAAGGACCTGCCCAGGGAGGGGTGGCAAGGGGGCTGCCACGTGGCGGGGATCACAGACGGTGCACGGTCAGTGAGTGCGTGAGTGGTCGAGTGGGAAGCAAGGTCAGACGCACGGCCGCCGACAATGGCTCAGTCAGGCCAGTCCTCACAGCCCGAGCCGGGCGGGCCCCCTCACCTCCCCTGCAGGGCCCAGCTCACCTGCAGCTCCTTGTCTGAGTACTTCTGCGGATTCTTGCTGCCCTGGCTCTTTTTCCGCAGCTTCTTCAGCTCGCCCTGACACTTGTCCAGCGCATCCCCTCTGCTCCGCTGCTCCGTCTGGTACTTCTTCAGCGCGGCCTGCGGGGCAACACAGCCTGTGGGCCTCAGGCGGCCAGGCCAGCGGCCCCTCGGGCAGCAGGAGCTCTCCTCCCGCCGTTATCCACGGGCGCCCGACTCACACTCAGGTACCGAGAGTCCAGCTCCACCTTCTGTTCCAGCTGTGTGAGCAGCTCGTTGTGGAAGGACTTCAGCTGGAGGGGGAGAGCAGAGAGCCTTTAGGGGTGTGTGGTGTCCCCAGGGCACAGACCCCTGTCGATGACCCCCCCTGTGCAGGGGGCCTGAGGCTGCCACCCGTGCACATCCCTGGTCACAGGAGTCCTTGCCAGCAGCCCCCACAGGTCTGGCCTGGAGACCAAGCCATGGCTGCATGTTACAGCTGGGACTACCTGGGACACTTGGGCTCCTGGCCCCTCTCAGGAAGATGTCACACTCCGGCAGGGGGCCCACCCCCCAGCAGGAGCCGTGTCCTGGGGCCTGAGACCTCTACCTCGGATGGCCGCACTAGTTCCTGGAGAGCCTATGCCAGGCCATGGCCAGCAGCGCTCTGGGGTCACCTGTGGGCCGAGAGTGCCCCCTGGCACAGGGCCTGGCCCGGTCAGTGATCCAGGTCACCTGAACAGCGGGGCCCTTCTCACCGTCTCCTCCAGCTGGCTCTGGATCTGCCTGTGGACCTCAGCCATCTGGAACAGGACGTCTCCTGTGGACAGGCCAGTGTGGCGGGGAGGGTTAGCGCATGCGAGCCCACTCCTGCCCGCCCTTCCCAGGCCCGAGACCCGAAGCCTCGTGGCAGGCACAGGGTCAGGGCTGCAGCTTCTGCCAAGGGTGCGTGCCAGAGGCAAAGAGGGCCCTCTAGGATGAGGACACACACATACCCGGGAGCCAGGCAGGGGTCCCCTGAGGGTCCACACCAAACTGGTGAGGAAGACAGAGAAGACCCCCCACTGTGTATCCACCCAGACCCCCAGTGGGACCCACAGCTTGAGCACACAGTGTTTGCCACCCACGCTGCAGCAGGCTCGGCCTGCACTGCCCCACAGTGCACGCCCCAGCCTCCACAGAGGCCCAGCTTGCCCTCGGACCCCTTGACAAGTGGCCCATGTTCATGGCATCTGGCCCGCGATGGGCACCCTTCCCACAAAGCCTCCACCCATCAAGGACTTCACAGGGACCATGCCCCATAGTCTTGGCACCCAGCCACAGGGCTCAGGAAGCCTGCAGGTGTCCGCCTCCTGGATCAGCACCCCTCAGGCTGGCCAGGACCCCCCAGACAGGAGGCTGCTGAAGGGCTCACCGACCCCCCAACCACTAGATTATGTCGGCAGGGGGTGGGGGGCGCTGCCTTCACCTCAGGCCTGCTACATACAGCCCGAGTGTGTGAATTTCCACCCGCCCCGCCCCACCCCACCCGTCAGTTCCCTCCCAAGTCCCGTGGGACTGGCCTGTGCCTGCGCCAGCACCCGCACGGCAAACTGGGGCCCCAACTCCTGGGCTACTGGCCGGTGTGTGTGCACAAGTGGGACACACCTGGAGCGCACAACCAGGTGTGAGCAGCCGCGTGAGTAGACTGCTGTGTGCAGTGTCTGGGAGTGGGACTGACGAGTTGTGAGCATCTGAATGCACACGTGTATAAGGGCATGCATCCATGTATCTGAGTGCATGTGCAGTGGAATGCATACATCTGTGAGACGTACCTGTGTATGTGTGTGAGTATACACGCGTGCATGAGTGTGTCTGGGTGTATGAGTGTGAGTGTGGTGTGGACAACTGTGAGTGCCCCTGAGTATGCGTGTCTAGGTGTGCATGTGCCTCTCCGTGGGTGTATGAGATGCAGTGTACGTGAGAGCACGTGTATGCACATGTGAGTACGAGTGTGCACACGTGTCAGGTGTGAATGTACAGACAGGTGTGTTGAGTGTGTCTGAGTACGTGTCTGGGTGTGGGTGTATGATGTGGGTAAACGTGTCTGTGTGTCTGTCAGGGTGTGGGTGTTTGTATGATGTGGGTAAGTGTGTCCGTGTGTCTGAGTGTGGGTGTTTGTATGATGTGGGTAAGCGTGTCTGTGTGTCTGTTTGGGTGTGGGTATTTGTATGATGTGGGTAAGTGTGTCCATGTGTCTGTTTGGGTGTGGGTATTTGTATGATGTGGGTAAGTGTGTCCATGTGTCTGTGGGTGTGGGTGTTTGTATGATGTAGGTGTGTCCGTGTGTCTGTCTGGGTGTGGGTGTAGGCCCCTCGGTCCCCGGGTCCTGGTGTGCCCACTCAGCTGTGGGGGTGGTTACAGCCCAGCACTGTGCTCACACCTGGCTGGTCCGTCTCCGGGACAATACTGACATGAGCTGTGTGTGCTGGTGGGGACAGGCTCAGCCTTGGGGGCCCCCGCCCCATGCCCTACCCCACGTTGGAGGCACACCTCAGAGAACCTGGCTCAAAGGTGCCCGGCCCCCACTTGACACGGGCCTGCTTGCACCCACCCACATCCAGGCACCTGCCTGAGCGCCCCCCCCACCAGGGAGGCCCTGGCCAGTGGGCCACATGATTGGTGGGGCATGGGCAAGGGCCTGGCAGCAGAGGCCCTATGGAGAGCCCCTAGCCCTCACCCGAGAGCTGTCCCACCCACGTGAAGGGGCAGCCCCTGAGGAGCCCACCCACCAGGCAGGCCCTGAGCTGCTCCACACACAGCCCACCCGGGGCACCGTGTGTGCCAGGGCCTGGCAGTGTCGTCAGGGTGGAGTGTGTGCGTCACAGCTGGCAGCCCTGTCTCACCCGGGCCAGGGGCCGGCACTGGGACTGCTGGCTGGAGTGGTTATGGCGGTGGGAGTATGGAATGACAAGGAGCTGGGATTGTGGGGTGCAGGATGGTACGGAGCTGGGATTGCAGGAGTTGTGGGGTCCAGGATTTTGGGGCGCTGGGAATGCAGTGGGCCACGGGGCTGCAGGTGCTCGGCCTACCATCGGGCTTCATGGAGGACGAAGCTGCCCTTGAGAAGGACACACACCTCCCACAGGGCTGCCGAGCAGGGACCCAGGGCTGCAGTCAGTCAGCAGTGTGCCCCTGTCCCCATACACCACCCCTCGGCTTCCCACCGCCGCCCGCCTACAGTCCCGGGAAAGAGCCCGTCCCTGGGCGTGGGGGCTGCCTCGGTTGCCCAGGCATCAGTATCACGTCACCCACGCATCCCTCAGACGTCACTGGGTGATGTCTGCCCTGTAGAGCTGCCTCCTGAGCACTCAAGACCAAGTCCCAAGGGAGCAGACAGCTCATCTCCACAGGCCACACCACCCACCGGACACGCCAACACTGCCCCCCTACAGCCTCAGCTCTGGACTGGGTGTGAAGCAGGCGGGGACTGGTCACCAGACACACCACCTGCTCGGTGAAGGGCAGGGCCCTTCTGACGACCGACTGTGACCCGAGGCACCAGGTTGCCCTCCTCCCCCAGGGCGGTGGGTGGCATGGGGAGGCACGAACGTAGTGTCCAGTCAGCCCCCAACCAGGCGCCTTCTGGGGCGGTCAGGTGGGTGGGGGCTGGATGGGTACCCCACGTGGCACTCACGCCTAGAGTTTGTGTCAGCAGAAGTGGGGCGGGACCCCGAGATGGAGGCGGGGCTCTGGGCAAGGGGTCACGTTGGGGACACAGGCCCGGTCAGCACAGTAGCCCCAGAACCAGGCCCTGGGGCCCGAGGTCCGGGACAACTGTGCTGCTGTGAGACAGCCCCACAGGGGCAGCTGCCCCTGCCCACTGATGGGCCCTGGCTCCTGGGACCCTGTAGGCCAACCGCCAGTCCCCCTCCCTCCCAGAGCTGAGCAATCATTGTCAACAGAACCTGGGTCCCCCAGGTTGCTGGGACCCCACCCCTGCTCCTCCATTGCCCCAAGAGAGAGCTCTGGAGAAGTGAGGCCACCTGCAGGGCCCCCACCTCGTGGGCCACAAAGTGTGCGCCTCCAGACAAAGATAGCACCCAGGGCAACAGAGGGAGCCCCTGCCCTCCCAGACAGAGGGCAAAGGCGCTGAAGGGCGCCCACAGCCACAACAAAAGTCACCCACCTTCCTGTGGCCCCAGACCCAGAGGAGGCAGCCCCAACACCCTCGGGAGAGCGGCCCCAGGGGAAACCCGCTGGACCCCGGAGCCACCACGGAGTCTGCCACGAAGACCGACAGTAACAGTGTCCACGGCCCACGAGCCTGGGTCGGAGAAGTGAGGTCACTCCATGACACGTAGCAGGGCCGGCGCCTTGGTCAGGCTCCTGACCTGTCCCACTGGCTCCTGACCCTGACACTTTCGATGTTGCCGACACAATAGGAATTATCTAAGTGGGTCCAGCTGGCGAACACTATAACTTAAAGGAGTGCCAGGTGGCACCTGGAGGCAGCCCTCCTACCCCTGACCCAGCTGCCAGGCCTTGTCCCCATGGCAGTGGCCCCCACTGAAGAACCTTCTCTGAGCTAAACTCCCTCCACTGAGCTGTGCATCACCTCGTGGCCCCAAAGGAGACCCACCCATGCCTGCTCTCTGACCGTGCCTGGTCCCCGGCTGTGGTCCTTCGAGGCTGACCAACACTGCTCTGTTCACTGCAGCCCTGTGAAGGAGCCACTATGCCCCTCGGCTTTCTCAACATCTGACTCCTCTCAGGACGACCTGTGCACGGTCAGCGCTCACACCAGCTCACAGGGGCAGGACCGTGGGCCCCGAGCCCTGCCGCCAGCTGGCCCACCTGAGAAGGCCCAGCGCTGGGAGCCCCCAGGCCCCAGTGACAGAGCAGGAGTAGGGTCAGGTAAGGGGAGGCGGCCGGGAATCAAGTCTGAGCTCCCTGGGCAGCTCTGTGGGCCGGGCCAGGCCCAGCTGCGCCCTGTAGCTGGCTTTACTCACATGCCCCCTGGCAGTGAGCACTGACCCCACAGACTGCCCTCCACCCTGGGTGTGAGCATCACCCTCAGGAGAGGGCCAGCTCCACCTCTCCCTGCACATGCACAGGGAGATGGAACCAGGAGTGAGGGTCCCCAAAGGAACTGGCCTCAAGCTGCTGTACCATTTGCACCACTGACAAGCTGGCATAACAACCCCCACCATCCCAGCACCCCTACAACTCCATAACCCATAACAACCTCCACCATCCCAGCACCCT